TCCCAGAGGGTTTGGTCTCAGAGGGTTTGGTCTCAGAGGGTTTGGTCTCAGAGGGTTTGGTCTCAGAGGTTTTGGTTTCAGAGGGTTTGGTCTCAGAGGGTTTGGTCCCAGAGGGTTTGGTCCCAGAGGTTTTGGTCCCAGAGGTTTTGGTCTCAGAGGGTTTGGTCTTAGAGGGTTTGGTCTCAGAGGTTTTGGTCTCAGAGGGTTTGGTCTCAGAGGGTTTGGTCTCAGAGGGTTTGGTCTCAGAGGGTTTGGTCCCAGAGGGTTTGGTCCCAGAGGGTTTGGTCCCAAAGGGTTTGGTCTCAGAGGGTTTGGTCTCAGAGGGTTTGGTCCCAGAGGGTTTGGTCTCAGAGGGTTTGGTCCCAGAGGGTTTGGTCCCAGAGGGTTTGGTCTCAGAGGGTTTGGTCTCAGAGGGTTTGGTCCCAGAGGGTTTGGTCTCAGAGGGTTTGGTCTCAGAGTGTTTGGTCTCAGAGGGTTTGGTCTCAGAGAGTTTGGTCTCAGAGGGTTTGGTCTCAGAGGGTTTGGTCTCAGAGGGTTTGGTCTCAGAGGGTTTGGTCCCAGAGGGTTTGGTCTCAGAGGGATTGGTCTCAGAGGTTTTGGTCTCAGAGGGTTTGGTCTTAGAGGGTTTGGTCTCAGAGGTTTTGGTCTCAGAGGTTTTGGTCTCAGAGGGTCTGGTCCCAGAGGTTTTGGTCTCAGAGGGTTTGGTCTCAGAGGGTTTGGTCCCAGAGGGTTTGGTCCCAGAGGGTTTGGTCCCAGAGGGTTTGGTCCCAGAGGGTTTGGTCTCAGAGGGTTTGGTCCCAGAGGTTTTGGTCCCAGAGGTTTTGGTCTCAGAGGGTTTGGTCTCAGAGGTTTTGGTCCCAGAGGTTTTGGTCTCAGAGGGTTTGACGCTGAGCTCTTCTGTCAGCTCGTCGAATCGAAGCCGAGCATCAGAGCAGAGAAGGTTTCTGGGCCGAGCGAGCTCCTCCGATGTGACATCACTGCTCGCTCTCCCTGCACTTCTCGTCCTCTCTCGCCCATGAAGCCGCTCGCTCTGAGGCTGCAGGAGGAACGTTTCATTTCGTTTGCTCCGTCATTTCCAACTGGTTTTAATATAAAGCTCGGGTTAAACTGGACAAACACTGAAAACTGATTATGCTGAATGTTGTTGGTGTAATCATTCAGTCCGTTGGTGATTTTGTCAGTAAAATAATCTCAATCTGAAGATCAAACTGAAAATTTCTGAAGAAATTTTAAAAAGCGGCTGCGGCCTACGAGTCCAATATTGATTTAGAAAAAAATATATTCTGATAAATTGCAGACATTTAATATGGGGTGCCGTTTGTAAAGTTACAGTCAACATTAACAGCAATATTTTGGTTTATTTAGCCTTAGATAGAAAACAAATATTTTTTTTTCAGTCATATTTTCACCATGTTATTCACACATTTATAAATGTCATTTAGTTCCAAACTAAATATTTAGTTTACAAACTAAATACTTAACTTGCAAATTAAATATTTAGCTCCACACTACATATTTAGTTTACAAACTAAATGTTTACGTCCAAGCTAAATGTTTAATTTACAAATTAAATATTTAACTTGCAACTTGGTTATTTAGTGAAATAAATATTTAGGTGTAAATTAAATATTTAATTTTCAAGCTAAATATTTATTTTAAAAACTAAACATTTAATTTCAAAGCTAAATATTTATTGTCCAAGCTAAATATTTAATTTTCAAACAAAACATTTAATTTTTAAGCTTAACATTTTATTCTTAAACTAAAAGAGGTGTATATAGAGAGGTTCAGCTTTTATTTTGATAGTACACTTCTGCTGTTCAGCTAGGAATTTGCATATTAGCTAAATATTTAGATTTGAACAAAATATTTAACTTGCAAGTTACATATTTGGATCCAAGCTAAATATTTAGTTAGCAAAGTAAATATTTGTTTTGGAAATTAAATGTTTAGTTTGGAAAATAAATATTTAGGTCCAAGCTAAATATTTAGTTAGCATATTAAATATTTAGTTTAGGAATTAAATTTTTAGATTAGAAATTTAATGTTTAGTGTTGACAGTAAATATTTAGCTTGTAAATTAAATATGTAATTTACATGTAAATATTTAGTTCACTAACTAAATATTTAACTTGCAAGTTAAGTATTTAGTTTGTAACCTAAATATTTAGCATGTAAATTAAATATTTACTGTGATGGACTTGCGACCCGTCCAGGGTGTCCCCCGCCCCTCGCACAGTGATTGCTGGACATGGGCACCAGCGACCCCCGTGACCCAAAATGGAAGAAGCGGTTAAAGATGATGGATGGATGGATGGATGGATGGATGGATGGATGGATACAACAGATGAAAGAGTTGGACTTATTTTATGTAATTTGTGGTTTTGTTTAGTTTTAAACACTTTAAACGTCAGAAGTTTTATTTCCATCATACTTTGGTTTGAGTCACCCTGTAGAACCGCTCAGTCCAAACATCTCCTGACAGAACCCAGATGTTTATCCAGACACCAGCTCAGATCTGAGCTCCTCACCGACTCCTCTGCAGATGAAACGGGTCATTTTATAAACAGAACTCTGAGGAGCAGCTTCCTGCAGGAGACCAAGGACCAGATGGAGCTCCGCAGCCTCAGAGGCTTTCTTCTCCATCCTCTTTGGACCTTAAAGAGAAGAGAGGTGGTGTTGCGTTCAGGACAGAACCGGTCCTGGATGTTTCAGATGTCTCCTCTGTCAGGTGGAGCAGCCTCGTCCTCTCTGGTTCCTCTGGTCTCCCTCTCTGCTCGTTGTGAGGAACTCACCGTCTGATTAGTTCATCTGCAGGTTTTAATGAACCTCAGCAGCAGCTGGAAGGTCAGAAGTTGTCTGCTGACTCAGAGCTTCATTATGAAATTATCTTCTTCACTCTGAAGGACTTTATTACGTCTGACCTCTGACCCGAGGACTTTATGAAGCTGTTCGAGTTATTAATAATTTATAAATCATCATGTCTCACATCTGAGGTCTGTTTAAAGGAAGGATGAAACCAGCTTTAAGAAACGAGTGTTTCTCAGGAAAGCTCCTGTCATCCTGTGATGATGCTCAGCTACTACCACTCCAATCTTCAGCTCAGTGTCTGTGAAACTGTCTGAGTTATAATTTATTATAGTCATAGTTATAATGATTTTAATAAAGACAAGCAGGAAGTGAAGAGCTCCAGACTCCACTCGGGTCAGACAACGACTCCCAGATAAAATATTTAGATTTAAATGAAATAAAGGTCCTGTTGAAAGTATCTGACCTCTGATCCATCGATCCGTCCTCGATGTTCCTGCCTACGCTCCACTGCAGCCGTCTCCTCCGTCCTCCATCGTCCCTCGGCCCTCGGACGTCCTCTGCCAGGACAAATCACCTTCAACGCTAACGAGCTCAGAGTCCAGGCCTCACGACACTAACGAGCTCAGAGTCCAGGCGAGGAGCGACTCCGAGCCCGGAGGGTCCAAACGGTTCCAGCCCGGAGAGCCGAGAGGACACAGAGCACTGCAGCAGGAGGACAGTTGGACACGTGATGCGTTCACTTACTCCTTTTTGTTCCAGCTGTTGGAGCTGTTGATGTTGTTTACAGGCGGAGTCTTGTTGATGTTGTTTACAGACGGAGTCTTGTCGATGTTGTTTACAGACGGAGTCTTGTCGATGTTGTTTACAGGCGGAGTCTTGTCGATGTTGT